CGTAGTAGCATGCAGAGAAGTAGATTTAAAAAGGAGAATGAGTGTATATGTATACCTGTACTATTGTGACCGGTTTTTAGGCATATCAAGCCAACAGTACGCTTCAATTCAACATACAGCCTACATTTCCTATACATAGCTTCTCACTTAATCTTACATTGACTGAAATCATGCTCCGAGTTACGTGATGCTCAATATGTGCAACACAACGATATTGACCAACTTTCTTTTCTTGTAGAGTACCTTTCATTTTAATGTCAACATCGTCACATATTGATTCCATTGCATGCAAGTAATGCAATAAACACATTTCTCAAAAATTTGTAACCTTTTTATATCTTCTGCTTCCAGAGGTCATGTGTTACAGCAGTTTGGTGTATATCATACCCATCCTTTCATAAATAATCACTCTGTTCGTCAAGACTACAGATGAAGGAACGTGGTAGATGGACAATAAGTTACTCAGCGTAGTTTCCCAATTTCGTACCTTTGTGAACCAGGGTACAGTTGTAAGAGACTCCAGAATTATCTGTCTTCTATTTTGTTGAAACTTTTCTTAGAATTAATGAGTCTCTTAATTTGGAGGTTTTTTGAATTTTATTAATTTTAAGTTGGTATTCATCATGAAGTGACATTATTTGGACAACCTTTGGAAATCTAAGAGCACTAGACAAGTGGTTAGTCCAAGTGCGACACTCCTCAACAATGCGCACCCATAATCAAGTCGAGGATTAAGCCCACAAACTTCGGGTTTCACGGCAATCACGCTACCATTAAGTCAGAATCTAATGATCCTCACCTTCTTACTTCTGTCAGTTCACGATAAAGTACGACCGGCGTTAAGTACCTATCATCACTTCCAACTTGGTTTGCCCCACTAGTTACAACTTGTCACTCAAATTTCGGGAAATCTCATCTCAAACCATTTCACTAATGAGAACTATACAGTAGGTCAATTTGTAGGTCTAACACTAAACATTGCTGGTGCTCATTATTTCATAAGATTTTTGAATTGTTAACATTTACTGAACCACTTGAATACTGAATTCCTTTTTTGCTTAGCGCTTCATTTGAAGTGGATAAACAGTGGCTTGTTGTGTTCGCACATTTAGAGTGGATCATTTCTCAACATAAAACCACGAGTACACTGAGTTTTCGAGTAGCTATCGTGATGTCCCCAACAGCATCAAAGGCTTTCATGTAGTGGGAACCAATCTTCTCATGCAGGATGAGGATCACGACAGCAAGGTACAACTCAAAAGGAAGGAAAGTCACAATCATACATTGCTACGCGCCTACAAATAATGTGGATCAAGAGAAGGAAAAATTCTATAGATAACTGCAAACAAAAATGAACAACATCCCACTTCAGATGGCGACATTAAAATTCTAATGCAAGACATGAATGCCAAACTGGGAGTGGACAACACAGGAAGAGAACTCATTATGGGTCGAGAAGCTCTCGGCGAAATGAAGGAGAATGGAGAACTGTTTGCAGACTTCTGCACCTCTAATAGTTTGGTGGTTTGAAGAAGCGTGTACAAACACAAGGATATTCACAAGGCGACATGCAGTTGATTTTACCAGACACCAGATGGACACACTAAAAATCACATCGACTTCATCTCAATCTGAAGAATATGGAGACGAAGCCTACTGGACACAAGATCAAGAAGAAGAGCAGATGTACGTACACACCACTCACTATCCAGTACAACGAACCTACATTCAAAATCAAGTTGGAAGCTTTCAAAGAAGCTGGTGAGGATAGACGACCACAGTTGAAGTTGACCATCCAGAACAGAAAGTGAACTGAAGGAGGTAACTATAAAGGACATCTTCACGTCAGTAAGCCGTCGGGATAAGACAGAAGACATTGAGCAACATCTCTGAAGAAACCTACGTGGAAGAACACGGGAACTCTATGCTGTTAGAGCGACGTGGAAGGAAACCTACATAACCGTGAAAGGAAGGAAGAGGAAACAAGACAAGACGAGGAATAGAATGGATCTGGACGGACACATGGAAGGTGATCCAGTAGGTAGAGGTAAATGGTGATGGTTGAGCAGAAGATAAACCAGGGAAGTGCAGGGATAAACAACGAAACGAGGAACTGAACGCAACCTATAAAACACTACACTGGACAAAGAAGTGAACACGAGTGCGCGCAAACACAAAATACACTTCTATGACACATTGGGAAGTGATGCAGAACAGGCTGCAAGTAGGGGAGACAGACCCGACAACATTATATCAAATAACCAGGTTACTATCTGGGACGGAAGAGATCAACGCAGATGAAAACAATGGAAGTTAATGAAGGAAAGCTAGTTACTGCCAAAGAGGAGGAACCAAAGAAACGATGGGCTGAACACTACAGAAAACTCTTGAGTCGATCACCATCACCATCACAACCACCTCCTGCAACTCGTCCAGAAATACCACCACCAGCACAGACAAACAACTATCAATCAACACAGACCCTCGGACACAAGCAGAAGAAAAGTCCTGAACGTCATAAATTTACTGAGATCCGGGAAAGCAGAAGGACCAGATGCAATTCCTCCAAAAGCACTGAAAACAAATGCACAGACAACAGCAGCCGACACGCTTACACCACTATTGCAAAAAGTTTGGAAGGAAGAAAACGTACAGACTGATTGGAAGAAAGGCTACCTTGTCAAACTTCCAAAGAACCTAACTCACCTAATTCTTTGCAAGAACAAAAACTGGTGCGGAATCATGCTCCTGTCCACAACAAGCAAAATATCAAGCCGCATCATCCTGGAGAGACTAGAAGATACACTGGATTGAAGATTACGACCGGGACAGGTTAGATGGCTTCAGGAAGAAGAGCAAATCAGGTGTGGATCAAACTGCAACGCTATACACCAACATACAACAGAGCATAGAATGGCAGTCAGCTCTCTACCTCAACTTCATCGACTTTGAAACGGCCTTCGATCGAGCTGTCGACCGAGAAGTAATTTGGCAGGCAGCTGCTTCAACACTACAGTTTTAGTGCCACAGACCTTTATCAACCTCATTCAACAGCAACTATATGAAGACACCACATGCCAGCTAAGTGATTCACAATGGAAAGCAGATCAGTGACGCCTTCGAAGTGAAGACAGGGAATAAGAGTAAGGTAGGGCTGGCGCCTACTATCACCCATGATCTCCCTCATTGTAGTCGACTGGAATGCATCATGCAACAAACCGTGAGGAGCTATGAGGAGATGGGTATACCCTCGCTGGACCGATGAAAAGACCTCGCAGGAACATTTGGATTTCGCCAATGATGATTTATGTGTAGTGTGTTATATCACACAAACTCGAACACCTACAGGCAAAAACCAACAAGTTGACAGAAGAGACAGTGAAGACGAGACTCCATTCAGGTGAATGTAGAGAAGACAGAGGTGATGAAGATACCAAACCAACAACAACAACAACAACAACAACCAATCACCATCAACAAGAGAAACCTAAAGGAAGTTGTCTCTTTCACCTACCTAACTAGGCAGCATCGTTTCAACTACAGGCGGCACAGGCACAGATGACGGTGTCAAAACCAGGATCGGAAACACAGTAGGATAGGCCTTCATTCGTTAACCTGAAATCAGTGTGGAGATCTATTGCACACCACTGCACTGTACTCCGCATAAAGCGTGAACAATATCCACATTTTCAACACTAGTGCAGTCAAGTAAGTCAGTGCTTCCATATGATGGTTTAGAGAGTTGGTGCGTTACGAAAAGCATTTCCAACAAACTACAGACATACACCAACATCTGCCGCCTACGTTCACTCGATACTGAGGATCAGATGACCAGAATAATATGAATAAGCAACAAGGAACTCTGGTTGGCTGGCTGGCTGGCTGGCAACAAACTAACCAAGAACCTATCACCCAACAAATATGCAGAAGTAGTTGGAGATGGATAGTATGGGACATATAGTGAGAAGGCCGACTGGGGACATCACGAGCCAGGTCAGGTCGTCGGGTGGAACCCAGGTGGGAAAGGATGAGTTGGGCGTCTGAGGCGAGGGTGACATGGAGATGGTGTGATGAAGGAATGAAAGCTCGTGGGCAGTCGTGAAGCCAGCTTCGAAAGACGGCAGAGAGTGAGAGTGGAATGGAGACGTGCTACTGAAGCCCTATATTCCCCTAGGAACCCAAGAGACAAATGATAATAATAATAATTTCTCAATATACAGACAGTAACAATATACATCTTTAATATATTTTTCTGTTTAAATGCAAAAGAAAAATCTATAGTAAACCATGTCATGACGAGAATAGAAGAGAGATGGACAGCGTAGATAAAGACCTTTCACACAAAGTGCATCGATCCAGCTTATCAGAGACATAGAGAGACTAGCTCAATAGTACATTAAGCATACTGACATAAATAAGAGGATAGAAATGAATAAGGGGGACAGGAAAACAAATATCTCCAAAACAGTGATTTACCTCAGAGAATGTGACTTGGCGTTCCCAACAGTTTGATCTTTACGATATCAATGTGTCCTAACCAGACACCTCACAATTCATACCTACAGACACTGACTTCATTGGTTAGTGCTAAGTTCTGGTTTTACCACTCATGACTACTTTTGAGTTTACTTTTACTCCCTACATCATGATATATTAGAGTAGATAACATACACACCTCAGTTATCTCATTCTGTTCAAGGTTAAAAACTCACTTGGTCGATATACCTTGTCTGTATAGATCTATGAGTCCGACCCCTTCCCTCGGGCTTTGTTCACTCAGTAATCTTACAATGCATATCGACAATAAGTAGAAACAAACAGATAGTGATCAACCTGTCGATGGTAGTTTAAGTTCCAGCACCATTGTGTAGGGATGTAATTAGCCAGTGATGTATAATTCCATGCAGCTGATGAGGGTACAACATAATCATTATTTAATAGACATTCAATTTTGGAGAAGATTATGTATCAATACATATTCAATATGAAATAACACTAACCTGAATCGAACCTTTCTTTGGGATATGGTAACCTTTATTACTAGGTAATTGTCGTAGATCAGCATATCCTAGATATGGTGATGGAGCATTATCATCTGATAAATCGAAAAATATGCTTTCATAGGAAGACGAACATGATTTGGATAGAATGATCCACTTGCACCCAATTCTAATGAGAAACCTTCAACTTGACCAACTGGATGTATTCGTCCATTAAGCATACTCTCCTAGAAAATAACCACACACAGACAGACAAAAAAAGATGCATGAAACTGAAATTAAATACAATTTATCAATTAGGTACACATTTGTGTAGTAAGTAATGAAACCCAGTTGACGATCAACACCTAGCAGTAAGTGAATCATGCATAGTTTGATTCCGTAACCAATATGGTAATAGGTGAAATAGCAGTACCGATTAGAACCAGTAGACAGAGATATATATGAATAGATATATTAAGCTTATTGAATGATAACTCGTTTTACGAAAGACATCAGTGGTTGGATACCACTAACAGAGATCATTGGCAATAATAATACTCAATGACCCGGACAAGTCACTGTGAATGAAAAATTGCAAATTATTCTAACCACGACTTTCAATATCTGATTTTTATAGTCCTCTCACCTGATATTCTTTGTTTCTATTAGTAGTAAAATTTCCCACATCTCTGGTATGCGTGTTGCATCATTCCCATTCTACATGTGTTGGGTTGGGTGTTGATTCGATGCACAAAGACTCAGTAATCCATCTCTCTCTCCACCTAATTATATTGAACTTAAAGTAAAGTGGTTCTATCTCATCTTATTGTGGGGTTGTGTACTTGTTAATGGATGCATTGCAATAGCCGAGTTCTTTTATAAACTACCGATCTTATTTAAGTCTATTATTTTGTATTTAGTTAATTTCCTATGTTCCGATAATCTAACTGACCCCAACCGGATAGTTTGACCTATGCACTTGACCTCACAGTCATAACATGGAGTTTGATAGATTAGATTATTTTGTTGAATTGGATCTATCGGGTCCTTAAGGCAGCCGACAAAGCTTATCTCTGAGTGAGTTTATAGATTTACACGCCACCCTAATTCCAGCTTTGTTGACGATCCTACGTAATGTTCCTGATGCACTTTCCTTATAGGGTAATACAATGGAGGCAGTGAACTCTTTTCTACTTGTATTTTCGCTATTATTCGTGTTCGTATTACTGTTATCATTTTGTTTCTTACATGTTCGTACGAATCTCTTGATAAATGGTAGAGGATTATTATTAACTATTAGTGCTTCTTTTGTGTGTTTCAATTCCTTCCTTAAGTCCTTACAATGACATTTGAATAAACCCGCCTTAACTGACATTGGATGAGATGACCTTAAGTCTAGACACCTGTTAGAATGTGTCGGTTTCCTGTAGACGATAGTATCTGTACCATCGTCTATTCTTCGTTTTACTCTGTAATCCAACGTAGCCAATTCTCCTTGTTCATTTTCTACCTCGTAAGTGAATTAGATTGCGTCCACAACTGAGTTTGTATGTGTGAGGAAATCGTCGATATGTTCCGATTTCAATACAGTAAATATGTCATCCGTATATCGCCACCATATCTTGGGTACAGGATTGAAAGTTCGTAACGCCATGTTTTCCCAACTATCCATGAATATATCTGCTATAGTTGGGGATATTGGTGATCCCAGTGCTACTCCTTCTGTTTGTCTATATATTTTGGATTACTGAGTCTTTGTGCATCGAATCAACACCCAACCCAACACATGTAGAATGGGAATGATGTAACATGCATACCAGAGATGTGGGAAATTTTACTACTAATAGAAAAAAAAAATATCAGGTGAGAGGACTATAAAAATCAGGTATTGAAAGTTGTGCGATTCCATTGATATGATTATGAGCAATGATAATTTATCCTCGAGACGTGATCAAGTAGTTAATACTGTATCATTATATGTTATGAATGAAATAAGCAAATGTAATATGGAATTAAATTCTACCACAGTGCCCAAGTTCTAGACTTATATCAATTCATGAGAAACTGCTTGGTCATTATCTAGCTATGGTTGATTGGTATTCAAATTGTTGTATCCTACTGAATCACACATTAAAATAGCTGCTTCAAATACCAAGATTTGATGTTACTCACCCTTATCCTGTACACACATGGTTTATAGCTTATTTTATGAACGTGTGAGTTATTAGTTGTAATTACATACGTCGATTTTAATAGTTATACAATGTCGTTACTGATCACAGTGGACCAGGTGTACCTATTTGTAGGCTCAAATCCCTATCAATTGGTTTTTGATAGAAAATATTGATTGACATTTCGTTGGTGATATTATTACGGACGATTACTTGAAATTCAGCCTCTTAAAAAGTTAGTTTTGGAGATAAATTCTCTTCAACGATGATCTTGATGAAATTCATTAGTTCGGTATGAATGACTTTACAACGTCATATGATAGGAGTCAATCAATAAGCCGCCTTGGACTTAGATTTCTTCCTTGTTGGTGCTCATTAGTAGACAAATTAGGGAAGAATAGAAAATCGTGGAGTTGACTAGTCTTCAAATGATATTGATGCCATTCGGATATCATATTGAATAAATATTCGAAACTAACTCAGCAACCTTGTGCACGTTTATGCAGTAGGCAACGAGTCACACCAGCACATTACCATTAAGTCACTTGGTTGGAATCCAATGATCCACAATTTCCTACTTCTGTCAATTCATGACATTGCGCCACCTCCATCAAATGACGTTTTCGAGTTCCGGTCCTTATGTTTGACCTGGTTGGTCCCACTGGTCATGGGCACGCACCATTGACAGGCCCCATACTGGGATGAAACAGTTGTCCAGTGCTCCCAGGATTCCAATACTTCTTCAACTGATATCAATTCATGATGAATACCAACCTGGAATCAACAAAATCCCCACAAGCTTCCAAACTGAACAAAAATTCATGCATGTAGCTCCAAAATGCCATTTTTAATCGATTTAATATACAGCCTTACATACAACTTTAAGCGCCTCCCAATGCTCTGTGGTTCGAAGGATTTCTTTCTAAAGTAATTGGCTATCTGTTTGATACACTTTTTAAGGGTCTTTTATTCATAGTCCTATCCAAGATACCGAAAACCTATCACAACTATTACTGAAATAAAATCTGCTCAGTCTATTTTTAATTGTGTATTGTGCTTACATGCTTGTTTCTGAAGGTTTGAATTAATAGATCAGCCGTTGAAAGGGATGCGAGAATATTTATCCTCATCAAAATCATCAGACTTTAAAGGCGACCCTAGCAACTGATGAAACAACCAATCACGTCTCTCTATTTTATGCAAAACTGTCTTCCAAGCCAAAACACCGCAACCTGATTGGCTGTTTTCGCTATTGAAAAAGTGGCCTTTAAAGTTGCTCATCGAAATCCCATAGAATCTTATCCAGAGTGAGCTGTATTTTTCTGGGAGACGTTCACATGTGGTTTCGCTTGGAACTTCCGCAAGATAATATCTGTACTGGGATTACTAGTTTGAAGGTCATTTGAGTGTCATCCAAACTTGACAGTTTTTCGATTCCACCGAAAACTAATTGGGATCCGGGTCAAACAAAGCAAAAGTTAGAGACTTGACAATTAGGCTATTTAAGCCAAAATTTACACTAGATTATGTAGACAGATTAGTTGCCAGGGCGTAACCGTTGTATATATCAACCGTTTAGTGATCAGCCTTGACAAAATTCTATCGAACGAGCTTGCAATGTGCTCAATAGAATGTAAATTAACTCAAAACAAAATTTATCAGTCGAACCAGAAATCACCAGAAAAGGTGAAGAAGCGAACAAGGACACGTTATTAGAACGAGTGGGGATGGGGGAAGGGGGCAACAGAAGAGGTTAAATATGTCACTGCCGAAAGCAGAAAACATTATTGAAATAAGGATGGTCAGCATAGATAGATCAGTAGTAAAATTGCTGATCACAGTACTGAAATCTTGGGAGGGGAGTTTCTTTGTATTACAGTTACATCTTACAGACAAGTGATCCAATATATCCATTAGAAAATGTGTGGGGCTGTGGCTCATTGGTTTCAGGAGATGACTTTCAACCAGTAGGTCATGGGTTCGAACTCTCTGTCCACCTACCGAGGTTTAGGCAGCCAGGTAGAGTATCATTAGTACTCATTGCCTACTGCATGAGTATGCACAAGGTTGTTGAATGCATTTCGATTCTAAAGTGTTCTGGAAGGATTCCGAAAAAGAATCATGTATTTGGGTTCGAAAGAAAAAATCTACTTGAAAGATGGATTGAGCTTCCGAGATTTCTGCAATGGCTTTCAAGGCTTAGCCACCAAATCAACTAGAATGGAAAACTCTAAGTCATACAAATTAGTCAGTAAGGAAAGTATAATATTTTGCAGTCAATATTAAAATAACTTGAACCATGAATGGAACTCATGGACTAGACAACGTGTTCGACTCAAGGTCATCTCCATGTAAAGTTTACTCATTATCTGATGGATGACACTTTACTCACTATGAAATGAAACTTCAATAAGCAGGCAAGGCATTCTATTTACTCAGTACAACAAACTTTATTATAATAAATAGTATTTCCTTATTAATAAATAAACTTTTGAAATATAACTAGTTCTTAGTGTTATTGCTTGTATTAACGCGCTGGCGTTTGAAGCGATCGCTCCCGAGTCACGTACATCCAACTGACGAGTCCCAAATAGGACGAAATGCGCATCCTGGATTCCACTGCTAGCCACTACCCATCACTAATAACTAGTTCTTTTCGAAAAAAACAATGACGAATTTCTAAAGTAGGTATGCTGCACTGAAAAAAATAGAAATTAATGACACTTCAAGTTGGTATTCATTATGGACTGACGTCAGTTGAATGAAAATTGGAGTCCTGGGAGCACTGGACAGTTGTTTCGTCCTGAAGTGGGATTCCTCAGCAGTGTGCACCCATGACCCTGCCTCGCCGGGAGTCGGACCCAAGGCCTTCGGATCCCATGGTCAGCATGTTACCATTAAGCCAATGGGCCGGATTTAGGGCTCATGAGTGACTAGCTTCGAGAGGTGATTACCGAAGTTCCAATAAGAAGTCGTAGCCGGTGGGGTAAACCTGGTGGACGTGAGGAAAAATACTCTACAATGATATCGAGTGATGGTCGCTCAGTGTCATGAACTGAATAAAGTTGAGAATA